CTAAATGTTGCTATTNTATCCTCGACCATATCTATATGAAGATCTTCGTGTATTTGTTTATTCCTGACGAACCATGGAGCTCTAATAATATTTCTTAGACATTTTGATTGGAACCTTTGTATAATTTGTACGTTCAATTTACTGGCCGCACTCCACAATTGGATACCATACGTCAATACTGGTTTCAGTATTACTTTGTATATAAGTAATTTATTTTCCACTGATAATTCCGACCTTTTCCCTAGAAGCTAGTAGAGTTTTCTAAACTTTATTTCTAATTGCTCCCTCTTAGCCTGAATGTGATCTTTCCAGATGAGTCTTCTGTCTAGATGCATGCTTAGATATTTGACTTTTGTTGCTTTGGACAGATCTTGTCCATTAAGTCTTACAGTTGGGCAGGTGTCTTTCTTTAGCGCTAATGTGATATGCACGGATTTCATTTCGTTAACTGCTATTCTCTATTTTTTAAGCCATCCTTGTAGCTTATCTAAATTTTCCTGTAGATATTCGGATGCTACTGCTGGATTCTCATCTGATGCCAAGATTGCTGTCTCATCAGCGAATGTTGCAATCGTAGTATTGTTAGTTTTAGGAATATCTGCCGTGTATAAAAGGTAAAGCAGTGGTCCTAAAACACTTCCCTGTGGCACCCCTGCATCCAATAATATCAGCTTTTTTTATAATTAATTAGTAATATTAATTTAGATAATGAGTGAGGCTAATGTTTGAGATGAATTATAAATGATGATGAATTATAAAGTGTAAAGTCAAGATGTCGTTTAAAAAAAAATAAAAGTATGGATCTTTGTATTAATAATCTTCAATAGTAAGTAGTACATGAATACCCCGACTTACGAACAAAATTCTAAAAGCTCTAACTCCTTGTTACAAGGGAAGATAATATTGATAAAAAAAATAACTGTCCAAACAAAAATTGATAATTTCTTTCTTTTGTAGTTTTTATTAAATAATTGTGATGTCTACATTGAAAAGTATTTGTAAGTAAGTATTTTGTTGCATTTTAATCTATTTTTTCAAATTTATGCAGTCAGTAATACGGAATTTAACATATATAAAACAATGATAAAGTATATTTTGATTTTTTTTTAATTTCCCCCGACTTACGAACAAAATTACGAACATATATAAAGTAAAAACCATAATGGAGGGTGGTAAAATAAGTATATTTTAAAATTTTTAAAATTCTAACTAGTTCGTAAGTCGACGGATACTTATATAGGCGACAGAGCATTATATCGATGTGTTAATATTCTTTCTCTTCAGTAGACTTGGATAATCTTCAATCTGGTAATTCAATTATATTTGATTTACATCTTTAAAATGTATAATAATAATAATATCGTTTTAAATATGAATATACAATTTATTTAATTTTATAATAAATTATTGTCATTTTATTAAATAGAATTATTAATTTGAATTATTGTAATAAAACATTGACTACATAGTAACGTCTCATATTTTATGAAAATTGATTAAACTAATAAGAACTTTAAAAATGTTCATAGTTGTGTTATATGCAACCAAACATACATATTAAACCTAACCTAAAACAACCAAGGGGACCAAAGTAAAACGGTTTTGTACCTATTTTTTATATAAATATATATATGTGTGTGTGCCAGTATATGTTAATGAGCGTATGATTGTGTAATATTTTTACAGTTGGCAATAGAGCTTTTTTGCGGTTGAATTTGAATAAAATAAGAAGTTGCTTTGGTATCCCTGAAAACAATTTAAAAACAATTTCTGTTAAGAAGTGATGTGAATTTGTTGTATGTAATTTTATTGTTGATGCACTAGTATAATTGCTGATATGTCTGAGAGGAAGAGTAGATTACCGGTGAAGTAAGTACCAAATAATGGAATAGGAATATATGGATGTAGAATGATATTAATGAAAGATAATTTTGTAGAGCAAATAGATTCACTCTAACACCAACAACATCAAGGGATGTCTCAAGTTCACGTGCAAGAAGTGTCTCAAGGGGTACTGTTTCATCACTTAGCGCATTCATGAGAAACAAATCACCAAACCCCAAAAAAAAGCTACCGTTGAATGACAAAGAATGGCAGAAGAGTACTTTGACTAAGATCAGACGATACTTGCATGGATTGGATCCAGAAATCAAGCTGACTCCACTCTCAACACCAATGTTTATTTATGCGACCAATCTTCTACTGAGAAGTAGAATCGATCCTAACATAGAGTTGACCAAAGAGAATTATCAGACAGAATTACCTATCATCTTGAACATTGTTGAATACCCAACCACTTTCTCTGCAGCCACTCTGAAGCATCCCAACATGCCACATTCGTTGCCAGCAATTTTAGCCATGTGGCTTTTTCTATTGGATCTGGAATCTGATAATGATGTGAAGCCAGTTTTCGATAATTGCCCTCAAGCAAAAGTGAGTTCATCTCAGAATGGTTTTTATTGATGATTTTCATTATGAATATTTGTTTAGGTATATCTCGATTTTTGCATTAATTCATTGACTGATCCAGATTTACAAATTGAATCTGTAAATGATGAATTGAGTAAGTAAACTTTTATTATACAAAAAATATAATCATTATCAAATTATTATTTCTTTGTAGATCAAATATATGGAATAAATGAAGATCAGATTTCTATAACAATGAATGAAGTACAAAGATTGAAGAAGGAGAATGAAGTGAAACAACTGAATAATGAAGAATTGTATGAAATGAGGATGTCCATGGAGGATGAAGAGTGCAAAATGCGAGAAAAACTGACGGAGCTTGAAAGCGTTACTTCTTGTTATGACGAAGTCTTTCAATCGCTCAAACATACTGAGAATGATTTAGGTTTATTGAATGATTTTATTAAGAGTATACACAGTCATATAATAATATGATTTTTTAGATGAAGATTTGAAGAAACTGAATGAGATCAATAGTGAACTTAAAGATAAGCTTGAAGCAAATGGATTAAACGATTTGTCGGATCTTCGAACGAAAATTGCCGAGGATCTCAACACTTTGGGATTGTTGCAAGAGAAACGCGACTACAATATGAATAAAATCACTAAATTGGATAAAGACAACATTGAAATTAAGCGAGAAGTAAATATTTATAACTTAGTTTATGCAAAATGTTAATTTTCAATTAATTAATAGGTGGAATCTTCAATCTTCAAAAGTAACAACTATATACTAGATTTGGGTTTGGAGCCGGAGGAGGTCAACGAATTGATGGCTCCGACTACAGGTTTTGGAAGACCCGATATTGTTGACGTAATTGATAGTCACGCAATTAAAATCTTCAATTTAAAACATGAATAATTTTAGGATTTTAAAAACATCTTAGGAAAATGGACTAAACTCATGCAACATTCTGAAACGGAACGAATCGAAATTGCTAAATTAGATGTGGAGAATAATCAGATGGAGTTGAAGTTTGCGATGCGTCAAAGTTATCTGAGATTGCTCGACGATAAAGAGAGCAAGATTCAAGAGAAGAGTAAACTTAAATTCGAGGTGATGCAAGAGAAAATTTTGGCAGCGGTTAACGAGTACGAAGGCATCCAGAAAAGCATGGAGGAAATTAGTCTTTACAAAGATAACGTACAAAAAGTTAAATTAAAGTAAATTACTGCGATTACGTATTATTATTATTTGTTAATTTTACTTTTGTAGATATAAAGAATTAGTTAAAAAAAACGAACTGCGTGTGAAAGAATGCCAAGAAAATTACAATGAATATTCCGAAATGATATTAGATAATATAAAGGAAATGAGTGTAAGTTATCAAAACAAGCTACTGAATCACGAAGTACTTAATTCAATGCATAATTTATATTGCAGGAAGTTGTAAAGAGTTACACGAAACGAATCCAAGGAGATAATGATAAGGCTTTAAAAGAATTTCAAGTATTAACCGAATATTACAGAACGCAAAATGTTGTTGTTAATACTAAGAATTAAACTAGGTAATTGAAGATTATCGAAATATTTTATTTTTGTGTACGAATTTGTTAAATATAATAATAAAAATTTATTGACCAAACTTGAATTATATCAACAAAAAAGCACATCCTATAAATCAATACATATAATAATAATGACAACGAAATAATAATGATTCTGAACAAGAGTAGGAACTAGAAGGATTTCATTCAAGGGACATTAGGTATTGGAAAAGGGATAATGCGGGATAATAAAATTTGAGATTGTAAAATATATTCGCTCAATTCAGAATATCTTTTCTTCTTCAGGTATTTTTTTTTGTAAGTAGTACTTACACTTATTTTTAAAATACAGGTACTTCTAACTTTACGACATAATGGAAGGGAATGGAACGTCGTTATCGAGAAATTCGAGAAAAAAACTTCAAATTTCCTGAATTGCAGGACGAAACTCGATTGGTCGTAAAGTGAGGAGTACCTATATATTTAAGCAATTGTGTACAAACCACTGGAATAGAATATACCAAATATTAAGTATAATATACAGGTATCACTCGACTTACGAACAAAATTCTAAACTTGTTACAAGGACATATATAGTTATGCAGTCAATAATACGGAATTTAACATATATAAAAGTAAAAACCATGATAGTGTGTTAAGATAAGTATATTTTGAAAGTTTTAAAATTACCCCGACTTACAAACAAATTCAACTTACGAACAACCCGTTGGAACGGAACTAGTTCGTAAGTCGAGGGCTTTCAAAAGTCCCTTCTAAAATGTAAATTGTTATGAAATCATTATTAGTTAAATTATATTAACCTTTATTACTTTATTCATGTATATGTATGTTTATGTCCTTAATGACTTAGTACAAACTTCACTTAGGAAGATTTCAACAAATCAATGTATAACTATAATTAGGGAAAGTTAAGTACAAAATAGGATTTTTATGTAATACAAAGTTAGTCCTAGTCTTAGAGGAGAGTCCTCTTGAGTACTAGTTAGACTCATAAAAACCCTAGTAACAAACCTAGCAACTAAAATCTAGACATAGAACATTCCTTAGGACTCCACTACCAGACACAACTACGAAATATTCTACAGTGTCCAGAGATATTTGAATTGCGGGACACGATACTATTTCTTCCACATTAACGTACCCTAACTTAATTACGGAAAATCGACATTAGTTATAAATTTAACAGATGGCACATTGCTAAACCCAAATATTTATCTTTAATTTGAATTCTCAATTTTGTCGTGTGTGGTTGTTCAGAATCATCATAACTAAATCTATTCTAATCAGACTTAATCCAGTGGTTTCCAAACTTGATGTTACTACGCCTCCCTTAAAAATATTGAATCATTTGGCGTCTTTCCCCCTACATTTCATAAAATAGATTAAACTTTAGCAGTCATTTGGAAAATTGCTCATTGTGACTAATATTTGCATCTCCTTTTAGACTAGTCCCCGCCTCACAGTTTGGAAAACGCTGCCTTAATCTAACTAAGCTAAGCTAACCTACCCTAATTAAGGAAAATCGACATTGGTTATAAATTAGAATATTAGCTTTTTTTATGAGAATTTATTATTCAGCTAAAGGATGTCATAATGCACCACATGGAAACTTTTAATGAGATTCTGAAATATCAAAACAGCCACAACAAAGATTGTTGATAAATTTTAGCTTTAGTGTTTACATTGTTTCTTAATTTGTTCGTTGCCTAATAAGCTGCACTTTTAATTTGCTAAATGAATTTTCTATAGAAAAGCCGAGAGTCTGTCTCTTTCGTTACGCAACTTATTATTAGATAAAATACAAGACAGATGTCGAAGCACACATCCAGTCAATGTCCGCTTTTCTAATTATACACGAATCTTCAACCGCCGAATTTGTCGAATTATCGAAAGAAAGTGTTTATTTATTTTATTTCTACTCCAATATTTGCTCGTTCAATTCACCAGGTGAAATCCAATCGCGGATTCCGCCCATCCCAAAAAAAAATCTTATTTGATTTGTAATGTGTCTTCTTGATATGCGTATTTATACAGTTCTTTTACTTTTTTAATTTGTCATTGGAGAGATGAAATGGCACAAAGAGAAAATATGAATACCTAATATTGAATGTGTGACAACGGCGTGTCGAGTCGAGTGAAATTTCACAACGTTATTATGCGTAAATAATTACAATTTTTTTTTTTTTTGGATTTATTTTGAAGTAATGCAGAATTGGAATTTTCTCGAGAGCGGAAACGGAGAAAAAGTAATATGCAATCGCTTTCGTCGTTATGCACTTTTCATTATTATTGCAGGCACGAAAATTGGTTTCTAATTCGCGTGGCATTTAGAAAACGAGGAAATTTTCGTCGCCTGCACCGTACCAAACCGTTCAGTTTTAAATGTAGCATGCATGGAGCTGGGCAATTTCATTATTTAACACAGTAACATTGTGTAAACTATTAATAGTTCTGATTTTTCCTATCTAATTCACTTACACAATTGAATAAACTGATTAAATTTGTGTTCAGCAATCATTAAAATAACTTCAATCAATACTATGATTCAAATGGAAACACATGATGTTATTGATCAATTCTTAAGTTTCATAATGCAAATTGGACTTATTTACAAAATTTGAAAATATTTTTAATACATTATCAAGATTATTTTTGGATTAAGTTCTAAGAAAAATGCTGATCATTATATATATTGGTGATAGCAGTTATTACAGCTGTCACATTGTGTCAAAGTGTCATTGACAAAGTGACATTCAGCTTTCATATGCATATATTGGATTCATTCTATCTATTATAGTTTTCGAGTAAATCAATGAATATGTGAAAATACTGCTTTTTCGAACGTTCTAATTTCAATTTTTTTTATATGGATAAGAGCACAGGAATGTATCTATACTTTCTGGATTCCCCAAACATTCAGCTTTCATATGCATATTATTGGATTCATTCTATCTATTATAGTTTTCGAGTAAATCAATGAAATGTGAAAACACTGCTTTTTCGAACGTTCTAATTTCAATTTTTCAATTTGAACGCGTATTACAGCAATATGGATAAGAGCACAGGAA